TTATTTAACAGTCAAAATACTCTACTTTAAAAACAATTTAATGCTTAAAGTAACAAATACTTATTTAATGAATATGCAGTATTCCCTTTTTTTTATTCTGTCTTTAAGTTTTATATATACAAGAATCCAGTCTCAAGTTCGACCTGCGTTTGCGAGAACTATAAACAAATCACAAGGTCAAACGCTTCAAAAAGTTGGAATTTGACTCCAGAAAGAGATGTCTACGCATGGCCAGTTATATGCTGCATGCTCAAGAGTAAGAAATCCTAAGAAATTTATTCATCTCTGTTAAAAAGGACAAAGGAAAAAAAAGATATTTTCTTCAAAATATTGTTTACCATGAAGTCCTATAAAATTTTATTAAATTAAAGAAATTTTTAAACTTGAATAAAGTTTACGATTAAAAATTCTGAGAAGGTAACCGACTCCTGAAGAAGGTCGGAAAATATAATGGTGGAAACGTTGTGAATATAACAATCAGGATGAACATGGTACTGCAAATTATAAAGCATGCAACAATAATAATTCTATTTCTGAAGCAATTTAGACAAAATTGCCTTCAATATTTTTAAGTTTTTTTTCTCTGATATGTTCGACATATTGCTGATAGAATAAAACAAATAAAAAATATATTGTGATAATTGCCTTGTGATGCCCAGTATAATTAGTCGTCACAACTGACAGTCACCATGGATTCGATATAAATATTTGATCTCTTCTTGGCCAGCAATACTTGGCGAGCTGATAGTATTCAATCAGGACATGAATAGCGTTGGACATGTATATCAGCACCCTGGACTGGCATTCGGTGATTAATCATTCAAATTGCAATCGAGAGTTGGAAACGCATTAACACTGCGTTGTATAATTTCTTTCTTTCTTTTTTTTTTGTCAATGTCTGACTGAAGTTTTGATAAAATCTCCTTGCGTCTTTGCCAATTCGATTATTATTGCTTTCTGGAGAGCAGAAAGTTAAATAAGGACATCTATTGTTACCGTGAGTTAGACGTTTAAACATCTGGGAAGCGTCTTGACAGAAGACGGTAAGTGCGACACTGAGATCCGTAGACGTATTGGGATGGCCAAGGACACATTCCAAAAGCTGGGCAGAGTACTACGAGACAGGAGGATTTCTTTGGTAACAAAGAAAAGAATACTGAGCTGCTACGTGACATCTGACCTTCTTTACGGCAGCGAATATTGAACGATTTCCTCAAAACTGAAGAAGAGACTCAAGTAGACGGAGATGTGGTTCTACAGAAGGATGCTAAGGATATAATTGACCGAGCGTGTGAGCAACGATGAGGATGCAAACAAGGGGGAGTCTTATACTTAACATCAGGAAGAGGCAACTGAAGTTTCTGGGACACATACTGAGGAAAGAGAGCCTGGAGAATCTGATACGCACAGGTCGAATAAAGGGAAAGAGAGACAAGGGAAAGCAACGCTTCACATACCTGACGAGCTTGAGCAAGTGGATGACAGAACGTGGTCTGGCGGTGGGGTGAGCAGAGGGAAAGAACTTTGCCTTGAATGTCAGCATTATGAGATGGAGGAGAGTGGTGTCCACGGCGGGGTAAAATGCGCTATTTGAATAAATAATGAATGAAACAGGTGGGGGGGGGGCTGTGCGTGTAACCACTAAAACCAAGGTTTATAGTAATAAGTATTATATACAAGGTGCGATGGATAAATTGTATTAATTACGCAAAAATAAAACTGACATGTCATTTTAAGAGATATATTTACCAAAATTAAACAAAAATATCTTGAAATACGAAAGAGTTCATTTATTTAATAAAATCAATATTGACTTCATTCTTGGCCTCCAGATGATTACGGGATCACCTGTAACTCTTCTGGGCGCTGTCTACAAACTCTAAAACCGATATTGAAGAATCTTCTTCCATAAATAAAAGCAAATTTTAAACAGTGTATATATATATATATATATATATATATATATATATATATATATATATATATATATATATAGAGAGAGAGAGAGAGAGAGAGGGCGCAATGGAAAAAATTGTCACCATCTTATATTTTTAAACCCAATATACGAAGCTTAGAACAGCTTATGATCAAACATAATAGACATTCGTTATCTGTTATATTTATCAATATGTTTGACTAATGATTTGCTAACCCAATACACTATATATATATATATATATATATATATATATATATATATATATATATATATATATAAAATTGTGTATTTAGTCAGTAGTCCTTCTTTTACACAAACTTCTTTAAAAACGACTGACAAGGTACGGCGGTTAATATTTTTAATATTTTTTTTTTTTTGCGTTATATTTTTTTCTTTTCTGGACATAAACTAGGTGGAAATTGTCCGAATGTTCTGTATGGAACAAAAATGCGTACTATAAAGTTTATGATAAAGCTATTTCATAAAAGAGAATCCATGGCTTATGAAAAGCATTGTCGCTGCTAATTTCGCTTAAAGTTGCTTTCAATACGATCGTTTTCCAGAAACCTTGTTGCTTTCGCGGTCTGCTCTGACAATTTAGTTTTTTTATGATGTACTGTTTGCTTTCATTTCTGACACAGACTGCAGATGTGAACCGATCTTTAACAATGCTAGCTAAACCTGTCAGGAACGGCAGCTGCTGTCAGGTATTTACAGTCGGATTGTCTAATCAGTCGAAATGATGGCTCATTGAGAAACGAACGCATTCAAGACAATCTGTCTTATCTGTCCAAGGTCTGATCCCAAAAAAAGCCAGACACTGATACTAAATGTTCCCATTCTATCATTGCATCGATGTCCTAGAAAGATAGGGTGGTCGAATTCGGTATCAATTGTCATTACGGTTCACGTACTACTTAATTAAACTGAACCGCTCGTAAAAAAAAAACAAAACGAAAAAAATATAAAAAATGTTTGTTATTCTGTAGATCTTCGTTTTGGAATAAAAAAAAACGTACGCAGGTGTAGGTGTTAAGAAAACTTTATTCAGCTGAGAATACAAGGTTCACATTTTTATAGTCACAGTAAACAGAAATAGCTCTCTCAAAGAGGAGAGTGACGAAACAAGGAGAGACCACTCTTCATTATTTATAACAGAGGACTGACATTGCATTTACATTTTAGAAGATTAAACTTGACTGGAAAGCAAATGCCGGAAGAGAATGGCGGATATGTTGCTTATTAAAAAAAATGTTGAACTCTGAAATGTACTTTTAATAACAAAAGTACAAAGGTGTAGGCTTTAAGAAAGCTTTATTCAGCTGGGAATACAAGGTTCACATATAGTGTCCTTTTATAGTCCTGGTAAACAGAAATAGCTCTCTAAAATAGGAGAGCAACAAAACAAGAGGAGACCACTCTTGATTATTAATAACAACTTTATCCACGATATTTGTCGGAATTGAAAAATACTGATTTTTAAAAAATCATTTTGGAACTGGAACGAAACCTGACTTCTTAAAGAGTTACCGGTGTTTTGTTTTTATTTTACAATTTTCGGTCCGTAATTTGATCAGTTCCGCGGTTGAGCCAGGATCCGTCGCCCGGGACGCAGAGATGAAAAAAAATAGTTAAATATTCTTCTCTTGCTGATAGATTTTTTTTTTATTCCTGTGGCAGTGGAGACTTCTAAGGGTTATTGACCCTCGTTCGATGGCGTTCCTTCGGAGGATTGACGCGATTGCGTCTCGATTAAGGAACGAGCCTCGCGAAACGGAGTGGCTCTTGCAGCGTGTCTCAATGGCGATGGTTCGACGTAATGCTTTCTCCATCATTGCGGCTGGCAGAGGTTAGAAAAAATTGTTTATTGTTACGTTGTTCTGGAATTGTCATCAGTGGTCAACTGTACTTGTTTTGTTTCAATAAATTTTGTTATTGTTTCAAAAAAACAAAATTACAATGTCAAGTTTAAAACTGTGTTTACGTCATGGATAAATGCGTACTACTTATATTGTCCTTTTTCCAATTTCTTATTAGTACGCAGTTATCGATGATGTAAGCAGAGTTTCAAAATTGACATTTGTAAATAAAACTGATAAGTCAGGTATCGATTTGACACTGTATTGATATTGTGAACTTAAAAATTAAAAACATTATTTTTTTGGAGTCTGTCTATATTTCTGAGATGATGTATTATGTACATTATTTAGATTATTCGGACTATTGTCCTCATCTTTGTCGCCATATTTATCACAACGTTTCGGCCGTTGTACGCGCCGGCCTTCTTCAGGTGGTTGGAATTTCGAATTGAACCCTTTATTTCGCTCACTGGGGGAGACTGTTCTAGTTCCACGTGCCATGTTTGATGGATGTCAGCTATCAGTTATCTCCTGTCAATTTCCCTCTGAAAGTTCTCCACTGCCTTAACCGGGTATTGAACCCACACTCTTTGGGTCCTGTCACTGGATATAACCAACGCCTTTATCCACTGGGCCATGTGTCCTTGAGGACATCTAGGTATTATTTTTTTTGAGTCTGGGAAATCTCACGGCTAAAGAAAAGCCTGCCAAATGCTAATCTACACAATTGTTCCCCTCAAAAGTTTATGATTGTTTTTGATTGCTTGATTTTTTTTTCTTTCGTGGCTTATCAACATTTTGTCGGTTATTTAAAGCCAGAATATATTTTTGTATTGTAAGACAATGTTTTAGGATATAAGAATGATTTACTGATACAAATCCTACTCATTAAGAATATCTGTGGAACAAGAGGGATGTTTGTTTCGGTTTAGTGATATATCAATCTCAATGGGTTATTAAATGCCGAAATCTAAATCTTTTGTACGCAGTTTTATTTATCTATTTATTTTTCTGAAATAATAATGGTTTTAGTGATGCCTGTCTTAATAAGTAACCCATAGATGGGGGAGAAGAGGTGGATTTATACCTCTCCCAATGATCCTTGCGCGTAAGTTTATATAACAAACCCAGCGAGAATTGGTACTCGGCTCTCTGATTAATAATTACAAACTATTATCCATTACACCGCCCGCACATCAAAGCTTACAGCACCTGGTATTCCCAAGCGGTCACCCACCTAGGTACTGATCAGACTCAACTTTGCTTAACTTAAGCGATTGTACGGGAACTGGTCTTTCAAAGTGATGTGGCCGTAAGCCTGAGAGAAGGGGGATCCATACCTTTCCCAAGGTAAGTGAATATAACGAACCCAACTGGAATTGGAACTCGTCTCTCTGATTTCCAATTCCGAGTAGTTACCCTTTACACCACCCGCATATCCAGGCTTACAACAGCTGGTATTCTCCCCAAGCAGTCACTCATCAAAATGTGATCCTTATTCCTTACGAGCGGACCAATCAATGCAAGTAGTGCCCGATTTGTAATTATGAATTAGTGTACACGTTGGTGCCATCTATAGCAGAGACATTCTAATTCAGTCTGATGATTCACGAGGTCGTTTCAGTATTAGAATTAGAAAGAACAATGGTCCCTTATATCACTAGTGGATATTCGAAACGTTCATGTGAATATTTGCAGATAAAAAGAATAATATTCTATCAGAATATTTTTTACTGTCCTGTGACATATTTTGTCTTTTGCTAAATGTTTTCTCCCGAGGTTCATGACAATAACAGAAAAACCTGCTACGAGGGCCTTATACCAGACTAAGCTAAGCTGATGGAATATCTATATGGGTAACAACCCTTCTTAGCAAACTGTCACAGTACCCTGAAATGTAATTCGTATCGCTCTGAGTGGTACACAATTTTCTGTGTGGGCTGCACAACTTTACGCATAGACAATACCTACAATTAAAAGTTTGGGCTGAACAATAACATTTAATTTAAAGAGATAGATAGATAGATAGATAGATAGATAGATAGATAGATAGATAGGAACGGGCCGAGATTTATAGATAGATAGATAGATAGATAGATAGATAGATAGGAAGGAACGGACCGAGATAGATAGATATATAGATAGATAGATAGATAGATAGATAGGAACGGACCGAGATAGATAGATAGATAGATAGATAGATAGATAGATAGATAGATAGATGATGATAGATGGAATGGATAGATAGATAGATAGATAGATAGATAGATAGATAGATAGATAGATAGATAGATAGATAGGAACGGGCCGAGATAGATAGATAGATAGATAGATAGATAGATAGATAGATAGGCTTGGATAAACCTACATAAATACATACACACACACACACACACACACACACACACACACACACACGCACACACACACACGCCCACATACATATTTATATATATTGATAGATAGTAACAGATTGAAACAGAAAATAGATATTGGATTCACAAAACATTCGTTTTATAATTACTCTGAGACGTCATTAGGTCCGTTTACTCTTAACTACGTCCATTCATAATTACAGCTCTTGATTGTATCATATGAATACCATTGAATGGTGGCTGAAGATAGTGGAACAAGAAGGTTCACATGAGGCTGATATTGAACATTTAAGAAGGGTATGCCTTGTAGTTGTCCATCCTAAACCAAATCAGATTTTGTTAACAAATTGGTATGTAATTAAATGTTAAAAGAAAAGATTCTATGTTCCACGTTTCTGCCGTCGAAAGGACTTCTTCAGACTACATGAAGTATTTGTTTTGATTTTTTTGTGTTTTTTCGGCGGAATCATGTATAAGTCGAAAGAAGCAACGAAATACAAGAACGACGCTATCGACATATGTATATACATACATAAATACACACGCACACTATATATATATATATATATATATATATATATATATATAGATAGATAGATAGATAGATAGATAGATAGATAGTAACAGACTGAAACAGAAAAATAGATATTTGATTCACAAAAACATTCGTTTTATAATTACTCTGAGACTTCATTAGGTCCGTTTACACTTAACTACTTCCATTCATAATTATAGCTCTTGATTGTATCATATGAATGCCAAATATTTAATACTTTAATATCTAAAAAATGAACCTGTGAAACAGTCTGTCTGTGGATGACAATATATATATATCAATGTACATGGCAATTATTTAATATGGGTTTAACTTTAAATATCTTGATTTAAATGTGGATTTTATATTAGATACTTCATACTTAGATTATTATAATAATTTCAGTATATTAATTATTTTTTATATTTTTTTCTTACTGTTTTATTTTATATACTTTTAATTCTGAATTTATTCTTTCATATAAATGTGTTTATCTCTTTATTTAACATAATATTATTTTTGCTACTAGATTTAGGAAGGGTTATGAACTGCCTTTTTCTGCAACTGGGTATAAAATAAATAGGGAATTTCTTCTCACATTTTCTATCTCTTATTTTCTCTTTCCTTTCCTTTCTTTTTCTTTCCTTTCCTTACTTTTCCTTTCCTTTCTCTTTCTTTTCCTTTTCTTTCCTTTCTTATCCTTTCCATTGCTTTCCTTTCCTTTTTCTTGCTTTTACTTTGCTTTCTTTTCCTTTCCTTTCTCTTTATTTTCCTTTCCTTTCCTTTCTCTTT